GGACATCTCCTTTTTGACAGAGATGGGCCCGCCTCTAGCTGGCTGGCTTGTGGCAAAGCTCTTCTGGGCCAGGGTCTCCTGGGCAGGCCTTTGGGGGTTGCATGCAAGGGCTACCTGGAAAGACAAAGCAGGGCCAGCATTAGCAGTCGTTCCTCTCATTAGCCCAAGAGCACTTCAAAATAGACAGGGAGCATCTGGGGGGCTGCTGGCCAGGAGAGGTGGATGGAGTACAGCAGAGTTGCAAGGTGGACGGGATCTGGGACCAAGACTCCTTCCTTGGGAGCCCCCAGGAGGGAAAGCATGCAGGACGCTGGCTAGCAGCATTTTCGGGATTAGCGGTTTAAAAAGCAGCTTAAGGGGAAAAAAGCCATGCAGACCCAGGGAGACGTGTATCATTCTGGGCACTTCCTGGGCCAACATAGAGATTCTGATCTAAACTCCTGCCATTTTCTGGCAGTTAATTCCAGGATCTGATAATGCACAGCTTGCGGGCTTTCCGCTATTCCTACCGGGAATATAATCCCCACATTAGTTCCATATTAGTGCCTTATTTGGTGATGTTAAAAAGCATCAGAAAAAGGTTAACTAGAGTCAAGTACGCATAAGAGAGCTGTGATGATTAGTGTTTGGGGTGCAATTTGGTCAACAACATTTCTCCTTTTACAAAAGAATTGATTGGTGTCTCTCCTTTCTGGCTGCATTTTACATTTGAATAAAAGAGCAACAGCAACAGCAAGAAGGCACAACTGTCTGCTGTGGCCCCAGTCCAGCAAGGCTGACCCAATCTTTGAGCTCCCTGGCTCAGATCAGTTAAGCCACCCGCTGCCTTGTTCCGGAGATCTTCCCTCCGTGACCCGAGAGGGAAGAGCTGCAGAAGTCCTCCCTCCCCCCTAGGACAGGGGTCCCCAACCTTGGCCACTTTATGACTTGTGGACTTCAACTCCCAGAATTCCTCAGCCAGCCATGCTTGGTCATAAAATGGCCAAGGTTGGGGACTTCTGCCCTAGGACAACCCTTGACTGAAGAAACTTAGAAAGGCTGGCCTTGAGACTGGAGGGGCGTTCCCTGCAGGCCAGGAGGTGGGGCCTGGGCCACCTGTCCGTTTTCCTCAACAGGAAGCGTCTGTAGCCGAATCTCAGCTCAGCCGCATCTCACCCCGAGAGCATCTGCGTTGCTGTTTTGGTTTTGTTTCTCAAGCTTGCATGGATGCCATATGGAGCCCTGCTTTTTTGGCTTGAGATCTTGATGGTTACATTTCATTATAAGTATGGAATATCTATACTTATCCATATGGAACCCTTATAAAATATGTGGATCAAAAAATTGAAATGCACTCTCTCGTGGGTATGAATTAACTTTGCTTTCCTGGGCAAGGAATTTCACCTTCTGCAGGGTGGTTCAGAGAAGAAGCTCCATCTGTTGTGGCTCCTTCTCTGATTAGCTGAGGATTCACCTCTCAGCCAGGCACCTGAGTCTCCCCTTAGTTGACTGATTGAGTGGGTGGACAGAGGGAAGCGCTGACTTTGCTGAATGCTGGAATGCAGACAGGTCTGTTTGCAGTTTAACCAGAAAAGCAACACAGCAACACAAACTGTTTGGCAATTTGGTGAATTCTCAGGTCTCCCACAGGAATATAGACAAGCCAAGACTGAGATCCCAGAAGCTGACTTGCAATCACGATCAGGAATATGATTATAAACCCCATATGTGTAACACACAGCTCTCCTCGGTTGGATTTCTGTTCCTCAGTGGGCCAAGCAAAGCATTCTTTAGGCTGTGGCCTGGTATGGATGCTAAACCACTTTGAGAGAAAGACAGATGCCTTTAGCATCTGGGGAAAGAGGGGGAAAGCAGCATTTGCTTTCCTGTGAACTCTTCTGGGCCAAAGTGGCATTAAATCTGCCTTACCTAATGGCCCCCAACCCAAGGATGCCAAAGATGGAGAGCATTCTTCTGGGAAAAGGCTGAGATTTGCTGGCCGGGAGATATGGCCACCTCCGAAGGTGCCGGAAGGGCAGGTATTCCCATCCCCACAGATGGCTGAAAGGCCAACAGGCCCAAGCGGGAGTTTTAGGAGGCCTCCCCCCCCCATTGCCTCTGAGGACTTGGGTGGTGCTGCTTCAGAGGAGAAGGCCGGCTTCAAGGGGGCTCCTTCTTGAAAATCAGAATCCCTGAATCTGAGAACAGATTTGGTCCCTGCTCAAGGTCAGCATAAAAAAGGGGGAGGAATCATTAATTCCACAGGATTTGGGGCAATGGCCACAAAATGCAGTGTTAGGAACTGATTGGGATATTGGGAGGAAAATGTTCCTGAAAACTGGTTAGTTAAGGGATTTCAAAGAAAAAAAAGATTAGGCCTATGGGATTCCTCATATATTACCATGCCTATTGCTCAGAGTTATGTTGAATGGACAACATGAGGTAAAACAAAATTAATGTTTTGGGCAATAAATTTGAAGATGACCTAATCAAGCTCTGGATATTTGTATTCACACATTATCACTCCATTGCAGAGCTATAAGTTATTTATTTCATCTTAGTAATGTGCCTTCTTATCAGAAGTGTTAATCCAATGGGCAGGAAGTGTGTGGGGAGGGGAGCAGAGGTGTAAGACAGAGAAAGCAGATTTAACATTAGCTTGGAAATATTGCACAACTCATTAAAAATGTAATCATGCGTAAAATGAGATCAATGAAAATTTATCTAAAAGTGCAAGGAGAAGGCATTTTCTCATATGATCCAGGATTTAATAGACTGGATTTTAATTTAGTCAGTTTGCAACCAAAATCCCTCCAGGCTAAATAAAACAGCTTCCCCTCCCAGTTATTGTACAGACAGCTAATTTTCTGCACCCTTCCTTCTAATATTCAATCTTATCTCTTGCCAGATAGAGGTTTCAATATATTGTTAAATTTGTTTTCTTTACATTTCCCATTACAGCTTTTCATTTGCATGACAAATGATCAGAGGTGGAAATAGGAGAAACCAAGGGTAGTCTGGCTGCCCCCTTCCCTGCTCAAGCTGGCCCCCAGCGAGCTGCCCAGACAGGAGGCTCCTCTGCTTCCACAGGTTGGTGTGAGTTGAGGGGAGAGTCCAGAGGCTCAGCTTGAAGGTGGGGGCTGCAAAGTGGCTGCCTCGCTTGGTCCCTGGAGGCTCCGTGGGGAAGTTCGCAAAGGGTCTCCCGGAGATCCTCCTTTTGGGCCAAGCTGGACTCAGTGCTTCCGAGTGTCGCTCTCTGCAGGTAGCTGAAAGGAAGACCGCTCTGCTTTCCAGGAGTCTGGAGGGCCCCGAAAAGCGCTGGGTTTGCCCTCCAAGAGCCTTTTCGGGGCCCTCCTCCACCCAGAAGCGGTCTTCATCCCAGCAGATCTCACACTGATCCGCTGAACCAAGTGAAATGAACAGGGAACAAAGGTGCTCCCTTTCCTGACAGGGATGCCAAGGAACAGCCCCCGCTGGGATGTTTGGCCTTGCTTCTCCCTCAAGGATGGCTTCACGGGATGCTGTGGCCAAAAGCTTCTGGGGTGGGATGGTTCTGCTGTAAACTTTGCTAGATGCTGGAGGCTTAGGATTTAGTAATATTATAAAGTGTATTTTTATTGTGACAGTAAACACAATATGGCTTACATTGACCATTAGTTTTATGTAATTTTAATTGCTAGGTTTTTTTGTCTGTTGATTTTTATTGTGGAGGGGCCCAATATAAATAATGTTTTTATTTTTTGATTGGTGTAGTTTATTCAATATTTATCAATTTAGTTACAGTGTCAGTGTAGATGCTATACTGTTACAGTGTTTATCAATGTTTTCCCTGCTGCTTTTTTCTCCCTGGCATTCAGCTTCAGCCACTGCATAAAGAAAGACCATGAAAGCAAGCAGACCTGGCCCCAAGAAGTGTCCCCCCCCCCCCACGGACTGCTCTACCCTTGATGTGGATCTCTGCAGGGCAGAGGCTGGGCGGTCTGGAGGCTGAGGGCATGCTTGATCCTTTAATTGGTGATGCTGATCGGAGCAGGACAAACGGGCCCTTGCCTGAACTAGGGCTGGCCCTGGCAAGGGCTGCCAGCTTCTCTCTCCTGGACTGCTTGAGGCCGCTCGAGGCAGACAAAAACTGCCCAGGAGAGGCCAGCCACCTTACCCGGCCTGGCCTGGGGCTCCCATCCCAATTGAAAGCCATGCCCCCCCCCTCCTGCCAGCTGAGAGCCCTGCAAAGGTGGCTTTCTAGCCACTGTGGTCTCGGTGTGGCTCTCCAGGGCTTTGTTTCAGGCCCGGTTGAGACGGGAGAGTCCCGGTTGTGGGAGATGGTTCAGCCAGAAGAGGCAGCCCAAGAATCAGGGTTCTGATGGAAGTGCCAACCTCCAATGCAGCTGTGCCAGGCAGCTTCCCTCCAAGTGGCAGCTTGGAGGTCAGAGCCCTTTCAAGGGCTAATCACCGGCAGTGATGTAGGGAAGGGATTTTGCTGACATTTTACTTTGTAAAATCTATATGCAGGTTGTAATTTAACTAGCCGTACATTTAAGTTATTAGAAAATAAGGTGGTTGATAAGATAAAATGTTTGCATGGGTTTTTTTTTTCTAGCAGCTTTTCTGTGTTTTCAAAACAGGACTGCTTAATTTTTATTTGGCACATGATGTGGAAAAAAAAGGCATTAGCATAAATAGGGTTGCATTTGTGAAATCTTACCACTAGATTTGCTGGGCATCAAGGAATTACCACAGCGTCTATGTAGACAAAAATAGTATTAAACTTCATAGTTCCATTACAGAGGCCCTTCTGTTTCAGCTTTGATGCTGAATTGCCTTTGCTTAAGCAAGAAAATGATAGTGCTAAAATTTACAGGTGGAGATGATGCTGTGGGGAGGGGTGCTCTGGATTGATCCTCCAGAGTCCAGCCAGAGCTGCTGGCCCAGGTGGGAGGGGGAAGGGGTTTTGCCCCAAAAGAGAGTCCTGCCCCCTCCCCCATTTCTTAGCTCAGAGGCACTTCTTTTGCGGGGGAGGAGGAATGGCCTGGGACCGGAGCCCTCCCCTCAACCTGCCTCCCGGGATTCCCACCCCGGACGAGAGCGGTTCGAGCAGGCTTCAGCGAGCCAGCTCAGCAGCTGTAGCCTTTGTGCTAAGGAAGGGAATAAATAAGTGTGTTGGGGTTGCGGTCCGCGGTCACAGCATCCTCGTTCCGACCGCAGGCGGCTAGCGCGGCACCGTCTCCGGGGCAAAAAGCCTTCCGAGGCGGCGGCTGCTTAGCACTTGCGAAGCATCCCCGGTACGGAGCGCACAACGTAACCGCCTCAACGACGCAGCGGCTGAGCGCCTCGGCCTCTTTCAGCCCGGTCCGCCGCGGGGTCCAGCAGCTGCAGCTCTTCTCCCGCGCCCCCCTTAAGGCTCCCTTGAAGGCGTGGGGGGGGGGCATCGGCCCGGCCCTGCCTCGCCTGCTCGGCCCCAGAGCGCTTGTACGGGCAGGCCCCGGCAGAAGGCAGGCAGGAGCAGCGAGCCTCAGCCGCTCCCCGGCCCGGCGCGCTCCGCAGGCGAATCGAGCGCCAGGGAAAGAGCCGAGGACCGGCCTCCGTCGGGCGGAGCAGCCGCGGAGGGTCGCGTCGGAGAACGGGCGAAAGAAGCGCAGTGAATCCCGCGGAAGCTTCGCCGCCGATCCTGTCGCGCTTCTCTCCGACTTGCAGCGCAGCTTCCCGCGAGCCCCAACCTCGCGGCTGCCGGAAGCGGGAAGGGCCGTCTCCGGCCGCGGATCCGCGCGCCTCACCCGCCCGCGAAGGCCGCCCTTGCGCCGTCGGGGCTGCGGCTGAGGCCACCAAGGGGGGCGGGCGCCGTATCGGCACCGGCTCCTTCCAGCCCGGAAGAGCCCCCCCCAATGCGGGGGCAGCGCGGTCCTCGGCCGCCGCCTGGTCGGCCTGAGAGGGGAACCCGCCGGGCCAGCACGGCTACCGATTTGGGCAAAGGGCAAGAACGGCGGGTGCGGGAAGCCGAGAGCCGCGACTAGGAAAGGAGGGCTGGGCGAGGCGGCTCCGCTCCCGGTGGCCTTCCCTCGGCCCCCCCCCAATGGGGCGGCGGGGGGAGCGCAGAAGGGCGGGACCGACCCTCTGCTCTGCTGCGGCGCTCCGGCAGGCACGGCCGGCCGGCAGGGGGCAGCCTCTCCCCACCAAAGGCGCCGAGGAGCGCCCGGCCACCTCCGCGGCTGGGGGGGGGGGGAGTCGGGAAGATGGGCCGGTCTCGGGCGCGGAGGCTGCGGAAGCCCCTCGGCCACCGCGGGACCCGCCCGGCTCGCGGGGCAGGCGCCCAAAGGGGGCAGCTGGGCTCCGAAGGACCCGGGCCCGACCGCCGTTCGGGACAGGCCGGCCGGGCGGCGAGCACTCCTCCCGGCTGCGGCTTCCGACGGACCCGCCGCTTTTACGCTCGAAAGCGGCTTTTCGCTGCCAAGTAAGCCCCCCCCCCGCCTCTTCCCGCGGTCAGGCGGACGAGGCGCTTCCGCGGAAGGAAGAGCTTTTTCGCACCCCCCCCCGGGGCAGGTTTTCTGGAAGGCAAAGCACGCCGCGCGCCCCCATCTCTCTCTAAGGAAACCTGAGCGACTCCCCCTCCTCGTCACCCCAATAACTGAGTTAGATACTGCCCGGTTTGGGGGTTCTTTGCGGGTGTTCAGACTGGCAATCGATGCTAAATTACTGCCCGGCGCATTTAACCATAGCATCAAGGTATTTTCTTGGCATTTTTCATTTTGTTTTGAAATTTTAATATCATTTCAGCAATTGTTACACATATCTGCAACCAGGCTATAAAGGTTCATGATTTGGGATAAATTTCCCCCTCCCAGCAGCGGTTCAGAAGAAGAGGAAAAAGGCCACCGAATGCTTTTGCTGCATTTTTTTCAGGGCAAAGGGCAACCCAGCCTAAGAAAGGTGATAGTCTTCAGCTAACTTTCTGTTTTGAAATAAAGCGCTAAACTTGCAGATACGGTCTGTATTTGGAGGCTTCTCAAGATGGAGCTAATACAGGAAAAATATTTCTGTCATCTGGTGCTTTGCTTTGGGTCTGGAAAAATGCAGCAGCTTGGTCAATTACTCCAATTACATTGGTGGGGTCATTATGTGGAAATTAACCTGTTTCCATTATTAATGCCTTATTGGCAGATTAGTAATGCAACACTTTCTTTTCTTGGGAGTCCATGAAGTGGACAACAGAGTTATGAACATTCTGTTTAATAACTATGTTGATACGGTCATGCCAAATTTTTGTTTTAAAATACAGCAGTGCTTTTTCTAAAAGTCCCTGGAATCAGGTTTTGCACAAAATATACTTTAATCTCAAAACATGAAAGCTTGTTTTAATATCAACAGGCCTTTTGGTTTGTTTTTGCTAAATAGAGTTAACGAAGGGTTTTGTTGTGGTTAATAAGTGTTTTTATTTTGAGTGTTAAGAAGAGTTTGTAACTAGAAGTTATTTTTCCCTCTTTGCCAATGTTGCTGTTATTTGTTTCAGTGTTCCTGTGAATAATGTGACAAAAGTGCTAATAATTTAACAACTGTGCAAGAATTCTGGACAGCCTCTTCCTTTCAGAGTCAGCCCTTGGCTCTCCAAAAGCTGTTTTGAGAATGAACAGGGCATCTTCTCCGCATCCCCTTCCGTCCCTTTTCTCTCAGCCTTTGGCTGAAATTCAGACACACAAACAGCTGCTCAGGATTGCATGTCCAGCTGTGCACTCCTCCCCCCCAAAGCTGCAGAAAATTGGGTGGGAATACAGTTCTTAAAAACCCTCTTGCCTCCCCTCCTTTTGTTTGGCGATTAGGGCAAATGTTGAAATGTATCAAAAATCTATAAACTGGAAGAAAGTACATTTGTCACATTCTTAGACTCTTTATTTTCATGCCTACTTCTTTATGGTGCATTTTATAGGCACATTTTTCTGTCTCTTGCTGTTTCTTACTTGTAAATCTCAAGTCTGGTAAGATGTGATGTTTCCAAATGGCTAGAAATCATATTTGTGTAGAAAACACTGCCCCATAGTGTCTTCTGAGCCAAATAAAGGTTTCCTGAGCCTACAATCCAAGAATGTTCTGACTGTTAAAATCGAAGGATGCCAGTTAAATGCCCCAGCTGTGTTCCTAGATTGCTGCAATGACCATGGCTGGTGGCCAAAGGACAGAAGTGCCAACCCTTGTCAGGAGATGGCTGACTGAAGGCCCCAAAGTCCCTGCCAAGCCTGGGGAGGCTGGCTGGGGACAGCCCTGCTCCCTCCCACCCATCCCAGGCTCAGCAGGATTTAAGCCCAGAGGGCAAATGACCTTAGGTGCCCTCCATTGGCTTCTCAGGGATGCCACCCAGAAGCCCGGCTGTCAGAAACTGGAAAACTGTGCGACCTCATTCTCCTTCTAAAGGTTTTACTGTGTTTGATTCCAGACAGACGGCCCCTGTTGCCTGCTTTCCTGCCCCCTTCGTCCCCTAGGAAGTTCTTCTCCAGTCCTTCCCTGGAAATGAATGGCGGTTGCTCAAGAGTTGCAATTAGGGGAGGGGGTCCCTTCTGGTATTGAAAACAAGCGGTGCTGTTGTCAGGTTAGCTGCTTTCTGCAGGAATCCTCCGGCCTCAATCCTGAAATTATTTCTGGGCTGGCTGGGGGAAAAATTGACTGTATTTGTGTGAGGTGGGGACACACTGGGTTGTGGCATCTGTGCTGTGTTGCCACTACAGATCCAGGCTCTTGCCCAATGGAGCCCAAAGGACTCTCTGCTGCTATGGTGAAAAGGAACTGCCAAGAATTGCTTGGCTGCCTGCTCCTCACTGCGTGGATCGGCTTTGTGCTGCCCTGTGGCAGAGGAAGAGTTAACTTCTAAACTGCCCCGAATTCATGCCGGCAGAGCGAGGGTTGAGTGAGGGTTGACCGCTGTCGGGTCATCTGATGTGCGGCTCAGCAGACCTTCATGCCATCATAAATAAAACAGACAAATTACTTTTTTTTCCTAGGGTGGAATAGGAGCGGGATGGGGGCGATGGGGGGGGACATGTGGCTGATGATTTGGAAGGGGAGTGAAGAATTAGAGAGGAAGGGGGGGAGGTGGGAGCGATCTTCACAACTGCTCTATGAATCTCTGGATGGCAGCTGAGAACAATGGAGAAGCAGGCAATTACCTCCACTCCTTCCCCTCTTCCAGGCTCAGGAAATATATTCCTGCCTGAAACCCCCCTTTTATACCTCTAATTCAATTCCTGGATGAAGCAAGGGAAGGCATAACAAAGGAGGGGGGCTGCTTAACAGTTGCTGTGTCTGGGGCCCATGGCAGTTGCAATTCAGACCCTGGTGGGTTGGGGGGCTGCCTTGCCAGCAGTGGGGTTTCTGCTGCTCCCCAGTGTTCTGTTCAGGCTTTAGATTGGGAGTCCATCCAAGCCTGATGGGGAAGGAAAGCCTCCTCCTCCTCCTCCTCCTCAGGTAATGCCTTCCTTGCGCCTTCTGGAAAAGACTGTTCTGGGGTTCCTCTTGAGCAGTACCTCTTGCAGTGGCAGGCTTGACTGGGTGCCCACCAAAGGGCTGCCCACAGTCTCATCCAGAGGGCAGCAGCAGCAGCAGCCCTGTGTGGCTGAACTGGAGGTGGCAGCGAAGACCAGCTTCTGGAGCACCCACGTGGAAGACACCATGGGGCTCTTTGTGCCTTTCTTCTCCCCTGGAGTGCATCTCAACCAGGCGCTTCTGCCTCCCCCTCAGCCCCTAGCCCCTTTGCATGTCTTTTCTGGAAACTGGTGGATCTGCACCTCCACCTTCTGGGACCACCACTTGGGAGGGATTAAGCCTGTCAGTCAGATGGGGAGGATTAACACCCAGAGCTGACTAGGAGAGGCCCTGCTCCCGAGGAGTCCAGGCACTTCACTGGGGAAGCCCAGCCCCCCCCCCAGGTAATGACTGGCTGACTCTGGGCCTCTTTCCGTGGGAGTAATTCAAAAAGTAGGCATGCCAACCTGCTTTCTGCTGCTTATAGGCAGATTAGAAAACTCTCCTATATTTTCTTTCTGTGTGTGAAACTGTGTTTGAGCCACTACAAAATTGAACAGAGAATTGGAGCTTTCTGAAATTTGAGCTGGGAAAGGACCTAATCGAGCAATAGGGCCACCTAGAAAGGAAGCAAGGATGGTTTTCGGCAGAGCCACCCAGGATCTCCTAGGCAGCCCGGCCACCCCTGTGGGACAAGAGAGGCCCAGTGGCCGCAACCACCTCCTGAACAACTCAGAGCCAGAGCATCCTGTGCCAGCCAAGGAGGGGGGGCTCACAGCCCCCCAGGAGCTCACTGCATGGGGATGGGGGTGCTTCTTGGAAGAGATGCCTACTGACGGTGGGCACAAACAACTCTTCCTTTGGAAGAAGATGAGCCCTCTTTCCGGTGATACTAATATGGAATAATAAACAATCACTAGAATAATGATTTGTCTGAATAATTACTGGAATAATGCTGCGTTAATAGTATGTGACTAACGTAATGCGCATTGCACTTGGATACACTGTATGTAGCAAACTCTCTCCATTGTATACCCATGAGAAATGAACCTAATGTATTACAATGTGTATCACAATGTGTATTCCTTTGTTCCTGAGAAAAAGAAAGTATAAAACTGAAGCCTGAACCCGCCCTTGGGGTTCAGAATTGCTGGTTGCTAACTGCTTCTGAACCTGTGCAATAAATCTCTCTGCTAAAACCCTCTGGAATTTGTAAGAGTTCTTCCGTTTTCCACAAGAATTTTGGCGCCTCCGCCATGACTCTTAGGAAGAGGCCGTCGACCTTCCAGACAGACTGACCTGGTGGGTAGCCCCTCTCCTAACGACGACTCCTCCAAGCCGGCTCTGTGGCCTTTGTCTATGGGGAGACTTCGATGGGACGGGAGGGGAACTCACTTGCCAGCAAAGCACTCCAGTCAAGGATCCACTGAGGGTAGCAGACGGGTCTTTAATCCGCGGAAGGGTCTGGAACGCCTGCAGGCAAGTATTGTAAAAGGGGATATCTGATCCCATTTGGATCGGAAGAGGGGATTGATCACCCCCTAGAAAACAAGGCGGCGTCCTTAAGTCTTCAATAGGTAGGACTGTGTGGGTGGTTAAACCATCGCATTTCCCGAAGAGTGAACATTGGAACGTCTGGCACTCCAGGTTGGTGGTAGTGTGTTAGGGAGAAATGGCAGGAAACCAGACTGGGCGTTGGTCAGATGCCGCTTCAGCGTATGTTAGGAAATTTCAAAAAGGGTTTTTCTAGGGATTATGGGGACCCATGACCAAATCCAGCCATGTTAAAAAGATTTTGTGAATCTGAATAGACCACCTTTGGCGTAGGGTAGCCCAAAGAGGGATCGGCGAATCCCAAACTCGTGGCACGGGTTCATCAAATTGTGACTGGAAGTGGTCATTCCACCCTCTCCGGTTGAAAGAAATGAAGTCCACCTTCAACCAGAAGCCGGTGTGAAAAGAAAGATAATAAAAGATAAAACTGTCAGAAGAAAGATCAGGACTTGGATAGTGATAACAGCAAAACATCAGTTTCTAGTCGAACTAGAAGTAAAACGAGGGTAAAAACAGAAGAAATGATAGCCCCTCTAAGAGAAGTTTTGGAACTTCTCTTAGAGAAGTTCAGAAAAACCTCAAGAAGTAATAGACCTATTCTCCACCATTATTCAGACGCATAACTCCACGTGGGATGATATGCAACAGCTTATTTCTACTTTACTGGATATGGAGGGGAGAGAAAAATATAGGTTAGGAAAATTAAAAGTACTTGCCCGCTGACACCCCGATGGGGGAGCGAATTATCAGGCAAGCAGAAATACCGAAGCAGTAGAAGAAAGACCAGACTGGAATGCTAACGATGGACAACACCAAACTTTGTTGCAGAATTACCGGCTTTTGTGTTTAGAAGCCCTGAGAGAAGCCGCAATTCGTCCAGTTAATTATGCTGCAGTAACTAGTATTTGGCAAGATAAAAATAAGTCACCAACCACTTTTCTCAGCTGACTGATAGAAGCTTATAAAGTAAACACAGGTCTTGATATGGAGGTGGCACAAAATCTCCCACTCCTAATTGAAAGATTTATCACCCAAAGTGCCCCAGAGATAAAAAGTTACAATGCACAGAAGGGGCATTAGGGTATAGCAGAGATTATGGAAATAGCTCAGAAGGTGTTCCGTAACCGTGAAAAGGAAGAAGAACGTAAATCAGATCAGAAAGAGAAAAAGAAGGTTGAAATGTTAGCAGTGGCCTTGGGGGGAATGCGTATTGGATCCAACCAATGTGCCATCTGTAAACGGGAAGGACACTGGCAAAGGGAGTGCCCCCAGAGGAATGGCCAACCTAGGGAACAATCTTGCCAGTATGGAAGAGGACGAGGAAGAGGTTTTAGAGGGACTTTCCAAAGAAGTTGTAAGGGAAGCTTCAGGGGAAGAGGGCGTCCAGCCTACCCCAGTCAGATGGAAGAAAGAGAAGAAAACATGATCGGCTTAGCCGACATGGAATGGGGAGACTGAAGAGGACAGGGTTCTATGGTCCCATCCCCGGAGCCGATTGTTAAAATACGGGTGGGAGGATAGATTGTCTCAATGTTAGTTGACACGGGAGCCACCAGATCGGCCCTAAATAAATCTATTGGCAAGCCATCAAACCAGACCATCCAAATTCAGGGAGTATCCGGAGAAACTCAATTTCGACCACTCCTGGAACCCCTAACATGCCAAGTGGGAAAAGGAATCATTAAACATCAATTTTTATATGTCCCAGACTGTCCAGTCCCATTATTGGGAAGAGACATGCTAAATAAGTTAAAAGCAACTGTTTCCTTTGACAATGGGAAGCAATTAATTCAAGTGCCCCACCCAGTGGAAGAAATATGGCGCTTGATGATAGTGACAGAAGTAGAAGGTACTAAGTGGCAACAATTTAATGTCCCACTCCTGTGGACAGAGGATAACCCCCCCCCCCGGATTTGCAAAATATGCCACGCCCGTTATGGTGGAACTAAAACCACAAGAATATCCTGTTAGAGTGCCTCAACGATATTGTACTTCAGAGGCTGCTATGGCCATTCAAGAATTAATCCGAAAATACTTGATAGCAAAAATCATTACAAAAATTCAGTCACCCTGGAATACTGCAATTCTACCTGTTCGTAAGCCCGACGGACAGTGGAGACCAGTGCAGGATCTCCGCCCTGTTAATAAATTGATCTTAACCCTACACGCGACTGTTCCTAATCCATATATTCTTTTGAGTACAATACCTGCATCTGCTAAATGGTTTTCAGTTGTGGACTTAAAGGATGCATTTTTCACCATACCTTTAGCTGAGAATTGCCAGCCAATTTTTGCATTTGAATGGGCTAATCCAAAGAGACAAGTTAAGACCCAATATACCTGGACTAGACTACCACAAGGCTTTAAGAATTCACCTACGTGTTTTGGTCAAGCTTTAGCCCAAGATCTTGCATATTTGAAGTTAGTCAGACAAGAGGACTCAATATGTGGATGATGTACTGATAACTGGACAAAACAGGGAGGATTGCTTTGAAAACACATCCAGACTGCTCTGAATGTTACAAGACTGTGGTTACAAAGTGTCCAAAAGGAAAGCACAATTAGTTCAAATGACCGTAATGTATTTAGGCTATGAGCTATCACAAGGACAAAGAACTCTGGGCCCCCAGAGAAAGCAAACTGTGTTACAGATTCCCATCCCCCAAACAAAACAGGAAGTTAGAGCCTTTTTGGGAATTACAGGCTTCTATAGAATTTGGATTCCTAACTTCGCTCTCACAGCTAAACCATTGTACCAAGTTTTAAAAGGACCAGAAAAGGAACCTCTTTTGTGGCAACAAGAACAGACCCAAGCAATGAAACACCTTCAACAAGCCCTTACTACACCACCGGCTCTAGGGCTACCTGATATATCTAGGTTGTTTTCACTTTTGTGAGACAGAATGTGGCTTTAGAAGTCCTTACCCAAA